TGGTGATGCCTTGGCTGGTCCATGTTTAAGCTGCTTGCTACAGGCACCCTGCCTAGCAACAGACTTTTATTGTATGTGTCAGGTTTCCTGTAGCTAAGTGAAGACAACTAGCAGGTAGACCAGTTGTCTCTAGATCTGGAAACAAAAAAACAAAAATAAATATATTGGCAGTCCCTGGGCACACTGTCTTTGTTATACATAGTGATAAAAGGCGGGTTAAGGAAGGTAGAGGAGAGGTGGACGAAGAGGCTGATTCCACTGCCCCGCCTGCCTTTCTAAGTGCTTGTGCTTGAGAGCATCAAGTCTGCCCTGTACACATACTTGAATGTAAATATTCCCACATTTTCAACAATAATTTGTTGGTGATAGTTGATGTTACTCTGCATTTTTCTTTATTGCAGAGAGCATTCCTAAAAATCAGTGTTAGGGCTATGAATGGAAGGTCATTGTAGGGTAGAGTGAAGCTTGGCTGTGCCATGTTTATGTTTTAATAATCCATAACTATGAGTTATGAAGCATTTTAGTTGAGGAACAAATTTATTTTATAAAAGATAGTATTGCTTAGAGAAATATACATCCAGTGTTTGATATTTTATCTATCTACTGTTCGTGTTTTGCAGTGGTTTTTATTGTATCATGACGCAGCAGTTAATGTAGTAACGTCAGGAGTCTACCCCCGATTCCTTTGTCCTGGAGAGTTTTGTTATTTGTTTGTTAATTTAATACAAGTCCACGTAAAAACCATATTGTGCCAGGAAATTGTACTACTATTGTATACTTAGAGTATCTATAAATATCAGGGATAAATTTTTAAATTTACAAGATTAGTTATTTTACTCTAGTTTTAGTGGCTCTGACATTTTTTGCAATACTTAATTACCATATTAATATTAAATTATGTAAAAATTTAAAAAGATCTTTAAATACAAAAATATTATATTATTTGGTAATATATATATTCCAAATTATTTGGAATATATATATTCCACTTAACTCCTAATTTTTCAAAAAGATTTTTATTTATTTTTTAAATTTATTTTTTTAATTGTTCAAATACATTGTCTCCATTTTCCTGCCTCCACTTTCCCCTGCCCCACCCCCTACCCTCCACCCTCTGTCCATGGGTCCTTTATACATGTTCCATGGGTCCTTTATACATGTTCCTTGACTTGACCCTTTCCCTTCTTTTCCCTGTTACCCTCCTCCCCTCTGGTTACTGTTGGTTTGTTTTTTCTGTCAATGTTGCTGGTTATTTATTTATTTTTAGAGAGAGGGGATGGGAGGGAGAAAGAGAGGAAGAGAAACATCAATGTGTGGTTGCCTCTCACATGCCACTTACTGGGGACCTGGCCCATGCAACACAGGCATGTGCCCTGACTGGGAATCGAACCGGAAAACCTTTGGTTCGCAGGTAGGCACTCAGTCCACTGAGCCACACCAGCCAGGGCCCTAACTTTGAAAATCTTCACATCTTTCTGTTCTGAGACTGAACTTACAAAAGAGTAGTTTAATATTCAAGACATTTTCAAGTATTTATCTGCTTTGATATAATTTACGATTTCTTAGATCTGATGTTTTTGAAAAATTTATTTTTTTGTAGAATTTGCATTTATAACTGCGTTAGAATTCACAATGAAATTATTTGATTTAAATATATGTCAAAATAAGCAAAATCAATTTTTACATCTTAAGTGATATCTTAATAATTATTTGACTATATATATACTTGGTAGTCTTTTTACATTTAACTATTTTAATTCTGTTTTCTAATTTTTTTATTCTAAGAATTTTAATTTTTTAAAAATTAAAACTAATGTTTTATAAATTAATTTGGAAAATCGTGTTATTCAACTACTGAAAATGATATGATTTATAAAGAATAATAATTATATTTGAATTTCACTTCATTTTGGACCTTGTGAGTATAAAGTATATTAATGGAGTATAGGTTAGATAAAAGCCTTTCTTAATCACTTTTCCTAATCATTTTTCTGATATTGAGCTTTGATATTGAAATTTTTAAAAGATTTCTTGGGTGGAGATCTGTATTAGCTGGTGTCAGATGAGGCTAAAAGTTTGGTAGGAGAAATAGTCTGAATTTCCTGGCCTTGTTTTGCTTTGCTTTGGATCCTTCTCTCTGCGAAATTAGTTGACCTGGTGAATATGCTCGATGTAGAGTGAGTTGATTTGTTAAGGGCTCTAGAAAAGAATTGACAAACTATGATACTATATCTGATTCTAGTTGCTTTTTAGTTGATGTAGTGTGGTCTAGCTGTATTCTTTTTATTGTTAAGAAAGATGGTGAATTACCTAAAAATATTACTTGTTTTCTGTTTTAGCTTTTTGGCAGATTTCTATATTCAGTCATAGACAGTAGTGTCTTTTCTTCACATTCAGTTTTTAAGCTAGAGACTATAATCAGGAACTTAATATTTCTCAGTTGCCATTTTACTTCTTTGGAGAGAACTTGAAATACTGTGTTTACTGTTCTGGAGAAAGGTAGAAAGATATGGTTACTTCTCCATGGGTGTTTTGTCCCAGTGTTACTCTAGTCTTTTTAAAGAAATACAACCCAGACGTTGTTTGAATATTTACATTTGCCGAACACTTTGCTAAGGTGCTTCCCATGGATGATCTCATTGAATCCTCACAACAACCCTACAAAATAGACATTATTACTGCAATTTCCTAAGTGAGTTATTGAAAGCTCAGTAGAGGCGTTAGGTCACAAAAGCAGTGTGCATTGGAGTGAGGATGTGCAGAGCTATGCAGAGGTTGGTGCAATGAACCCTCGACACCGCGCACTTTCCAATACCGAGTTACGCAGGTCTGTTGTGAATGGGCTCAGAGATCTTAGCTTATTTTTTTGTGCTCTTTCAGATTTTTATAGATTAAAAAAAAAAATCTTCTGTATCTTATTTACACTCTGTTGCTCCTGGTTTAGTCTGAGAAACGTTTCTAGAGAATGGCTGATTTTGAGACTTCAGTGCAGACTCAAGCCTGGGAGGAAATGGTCTTGAGACCATTACGAGTGTCCTCAGGGCCTGGCAAGTGATGGAAGCCCTGTGCTTAGTGAGCCCTGTCCCCGTCTTTGCCCTGTCACTTTGCCCTGGCACTTGGTCAGTGGAGAGGGGACCAATAAAGTGAATGCCGTACTGCTTAATCATTTTCCTGCTTGCAAATGGGTGTAGATGAACAACGCCCTTATGAGAAGGGCATTTGATAGAGCTGTTAACTCCATAAAGATATGGGAGCGGGGCTTGGGGAAGGATGGATAGATAACAAAATAATTTTAGGCTCACAGTATCTTTACCGGCTCTTCACTTTGAATGTGACTGTTTGGATTCTTTACCTCAAATTTGGGGATGGCAGATTAACTGGAGGCAGGATTAGGTTTTCAGACACACTTAATACTGCAGTTGCTTACATTAATTAAGCTGTAACAGATCTGCATTGAATGTCCCTTAGTTCATGGAGCATTCCTAACCCGAGACTCAGGTCTGTTAGTGCTGTGACACATTTGTGGTACTTTCCTCCATCTCCCCCCTCCCGCCCCTTTCCTCTCCCTCTCCCTCCTTATAAAATTTAAGCGTAGAGAAAGTCTTCCCTCTGGCCCAGTTAAGTACCATAAGCACCTAATAACACTGCATCTGTTCCCAAGGTTGTAAATGTAGTCTTTCTAAATGAGGTGAAGGTTACTAAAAAGTAAATTTAATCTGTCTCTGAGGTTTTATCTTTTTAAGTTTCATGTTGCCTTCCAAAGGGTATATTGTTTTTGGAATTTATAGGGCCGTTGTAAAGCAGGAGCTATTGTGCGCTCTTCAGGCCCTTTTCCTGTTTCTCTCTCGCTGCCTGGTCTCTCCCATCCTTGAGCCTCCTAATTCATTGATCTTCGACTTGCTACTCTTTGTTATCTGAGGGGTTTTATGTTTCTTAGTCCCGCTATTGTTTTACAAACGATGCCAGTGCAGTTTATTTATCTTAGTTTATTAACCTCATGCTGACTTCCTAGAGCAGGTCCTTCAGTGGTCTTTTTCACAAGTCTGTTGTTTACATATTTGACAAATAACTTTATATCTTGTCATGTCATCTTCTGTTCACCCTCAGATTATTTTTGCCTTTTAGCTGTTTAAAAAAAAAAAATCTCTCCTGCAAAACGGCAAGAGGCCTTATGATACGGTGATCTCGGGCTCTAAGACTCATGGGCTCTGGCCTCGGAGCGTCCCAGCTCTGGCTTGGCGCGCACTGCCAGGTGCCTGCCCTGACCCGGTCCCTGTGCCAGTTGCTGGGGTGGGGAGAGAATGAGGCCTACCTAGTCTTTCTCCCTTCTCAAAATGAACTCACTTCTCACTCAAAAATGAAGCCTTTGGAGTAGATATCTGACTGTCCTCGGGCCGTGCAGTTCTGTCACTCCAGAGCGCTTCCGTGCGACCTCTTAGTCCTGCACTGCTATGTGTGTGTGCAGGCGTGTGTGCTTTTGATCTGTCTTCATAAAAAATAATGTCTCTGGGTTGAATCAGTTCATAGATTCATAGAATTTACAAATAAGGCCTTTAATGGTGATACCATTTCAATCAGCTGTTTTACAGGTGAGGAGACAGGCCTCGGGAGGGTCGGGGCTGTTGTCCTGTCACACAGATAGTGGCAGAGCTGGGAGAGAAACCAGATCTCTGATTTCTAGTTTGACAGTTTTCTGTCCAACTTGACTGTTGAAAAATTTTTTGATTCCAAACATGTTTGACTAAGGTGTGATTCCTGGTTGCATATAAAAATGTGGAAGTATGTTGTTGGCATGGGCAGCGATTGCTGAGGAATTTTGCAGTTTAAGCTGGTGGCTATTGGTCCGATGCCGCCTGCGCGCCGAGGATGGGAGTGCAAAAGAAGCAGAGGCATCATTTCTCTCCTTGCAGATTTCGAGAATTGAATTGAATTGAATAAAGAAATGATCTAACTAATATAATTTTCCTTGTTCTTTCTCTACTTTTTTTTTTTTTTTTTAGATTTTGTGGCTCATCTCACTTTGAAAAAATACCGTGATTGTCTTTTCTTTTACCACTATCAACACATATGGATCTTTACTTCCGTGCCAGGCCTGGGGGCTAAGGACACAAAGCGATCCCAGCCTCCGGAGCGGGCTGCCTGTGGGCTGGGGACCTGCTGACAAACCATTCACTTCACTTCATGCAGTGCTTCTCACCCAGGCCAGTTTGCTCCCCACCAGACCGTGTCTGGAAATGTTTGTCATTGTCAAAGTCACAGCTGGGTGGGGTGGGGGACAGTGCCACTGGCGTCCTGCTGAGTAGAGGCTAGAGATGCCATTTAACACCTTGTAGTGCATGGGCCTGCGCCCACAACAAGGAATGATATATTTACCCAAAATGTCAGTGGTGTCGAGGTGGAGGAACGAAGGTATAGTGTTGCTGTACTGAAAACGACAGCTGTGTTTTTAGTGCTTTTTCTGCCTGGCACTGTCCTGTGGTAGGTGTGTGTATATTGCTATTGCCCTAGTTCGGCTTAGGGGTCTGGAAAGGCTGGACTGAGTCCTGAGGACAGGAAGTGTATGGGCAATTTCCTGGAGATGACAGTTAGGGACATGTGGGGAACTGCGGGCTATTCATTATGACTAGAACTGGAGGGACAAAGCTAGAAGGAGAAAGAGGAAGTAAGTCAAAGAGAGGCTGTGCAAGTAGCAAACTGGAACCAGAAAATGGATGGCTTCGGATGCCACACTGTAGCATTTGGTCTTTATTTAAAGGCTGTAGGAAACCAAAAAGAGGTTTTAAGTGGCTTGTTAGATGTTCAGATTTGTCTTTGGGAAGGGTAGCTTCAGTGTTTCAAAGAGAACTAATTGGAGGGAGACCGTTAGGAATAAGGAGTTGATTTGGAGGCTGCGGCGGTCGTTCAGGTAAGAAATGAGCCAAGGGAATGTCAGTAGGGATGAGAAAGTAGTTGCAGTTCAGAGAAATAAGGAGCTTGACTGGCTCGCCACTGGGGGAGGGAGGGATTGGGTCAGGTCACTGATTTTTGACTTGGTAAGTGTTAGAGAGACACACACATACCCTTCCTCCCAAGGGAGCTAGGCAGGTCCCATCAACCTCACTGTGTCCTGCCTCAGGGTGCCATCTTGCGGGGCTGGCTGGCCTTTCCGTCAGCGCTGGATGTGGCCCCCGATGGTGCAAAGGTTAAGCCTCTCATCTCAGCACACACACAGATGGAGAGAAGACAGCGCTGCTGCGATACCAACTCACCGGAAGGTGGGGAGAATGGAAGCGCCCAGTAGCTGCTGTTTCACATCCTGCTGGAGAACACAGGACCCCTGTGCACTGGCCACAGAGCGAACTCCCTGGTCGGCCAGTTTGGCTGCTTGGGGTCTTATTGTCTGAGAGAATCTCCTTTGTACATTGTCCCTTGTAGCTCATCTGGGAGGCTGTGTAATTCATGTTTCAGCTCAGCTGTTGCCTCCTCAGGGAACTTGCCTTTGACCTCCTGGTACAAAGTAGACATCCAGTTTTTAATTGCCCTGTTGTAGCTATCCGCAGGACATCCATCACGTGCAGTTTTCTACTTCATTTACTTGTACTTTTTCTGCCCCTCCTATACTGCGATGTCAGCTCCTGAGGGTGGGAGGGGTCTTGGCTGACGTGTTTACTTTGAATCCTTAATACCTGCAATAATAACTGGTTAAATACATTTTTTGAAAGAATTGACTTAAATGAATGAGAGGTATAAAATGCTGAAGGAGGATCCGGTTTCTTATTTTTGTTTGACTTTTGGTAGGGAGAGGAGGATGAATTTAGTTTCGGATATGAATTTTAGGAATATTTAGGTACAGGTGTCCAATAAGACATTAAATATAAAAGAATAAAGACAGTAAAGACAGCTGATGTTTACTGAGCCTTTCCGATGTGTCATGCTCTGTTCTTAGCCTTTTACTGATCTAAGCAAAGTGGAACTGCAGATTGTTGGAGGCAAAAGTTGAAACTATCGAGTGGGAACATTCAGAGAGTGTCCATGAGAAAAAAATAGGGGCAAAACCCTGGGGACACCAGGGTCTAAGAGATAAGCACAGAAAGAGGCTCCTCTCAGAAGAAGTAACCAGAGACACGGCGGTCGAGATTCTGAGAGCGTGTGGTGTCCAGGAATCGAGGAACAAGTTTGTGCAAGGAGGAGAGCTCGCTGGCTGTCTCGCTGTCTCAGATCGGAAAAGTGCCTGTGGACTTCAGCATCAAAGAAATGACACCTGAGAGCTGTTCCAGGAAACCCTGGGGAAAGGAGATGAGGTCAGGGGTTCAAGAATTTACAGATGCCTCAGGGAAAGAGCCAGCAGGAAGGGAGGGTTTGAAAAGATTGTGAGGGCAGAAAATTGTTACTGCGTGATTCCTGGGGAGGTTGGGAGTTGATGGCAACTGGAGCTTTGTTTCCTTGTATTTCGCGCAAGCCTGCTGATGTTCTTGTCTGTTTTTTTCCCCAGTGGAACAGGAGGCAGGAGAGCCTTACCGGCTGCCACGTTACAGTGCTGGCCTGGTCGGGACGCGGTGAGGCCCAGTTGGCCACAGCTACTGACTCAGCTACTGTCAGTCACGAGGCTAGAGGTTCCTTTCCTTGACTTCTTTTGCTAGGATCAGTTGTTAGTTTTGTATTTTTCCAAGTTACTGTGGCTTCACTTGATTGCACTTTCATTTATTTCCACTAAGTCTGGAGTTACGGTTGCATGGAAGTCATTTTTCAGAAATAGTCAAGCTACCAGGAGTTGAAATGGCTCAGCAATATCAATACGTGTACATTTAGTAAGGAAACCTAAATTATATATATATAGCTTAGAAATTTAAGAATTTGTATCCACCTTATATTTTCTTCAGAAATAGAAATTAGGTTTCCAACTGGCAAAGTAAAAAAATATAGTGTTTCTATGAAGTGCTTGCTATTCAAATATAAAGTATACTTTAGTTTCTTGATAAATGGATTCTAAAATTTTTTGTATTGCTTGAGGTTTTCTGAATTTATATCTGGTTTTAATGTGCCCATAGATAATGGAATCAGATAATATGAAAATTAAGTATTTTTCTCTTTGCTGCTTTTGGAAAGAAATACCTTTAATAGAATTTTAAAAATGAGTTAATGTTTATTTGAAAAGAGTTTCCCATAATTTTTATTTTAGATCCTGGAGACCAAGATAAGTCATCCCTTTTGATAATCTGTTTTAAAAAAAGTGAACAAATTATATGATAGCATGTGAAAGATCTAAACAGTTATCTGTAGGTTTTATTTGTAAAACAAGCCAATTATGTCTAAGGTAATAGTTACGCTGTCAGCAAAATGAAGCATGTTCAGTTGAGGTACCTTGACCAGCCATTTGATTCTTGCTTAAAACACAGGGAAGGACGGGACGGGAGGGGCGAGAAGGATGATTTGGAGAAACATAGTTGTATGAGCTCCCATAAGATAGTAAATGTGGGTCGAGGGACCTCATAATATCCCTGAGGATGTGGCTAACGCAGATCCACTTAGCTCCTTCCAAAACTAAACCTTTTGGTGTTTCTCAACTTTTTGTTGTCAGGGCTTCTTTACAGTCTTAAAATTCATCAAAGACCCAAAAGAGCTTTTGTTTTTATAGGTTATATTTTGTATACATAGGTTATATTGGTGATATATTATATATATCAATATTTACTGTATCAGAAATTAAAGCTGATAAAAGTTTAACATATGTATTAATTCATTTAAAAATACCAATAAGAAATTCACTAATGCTTACGTAAGTAATATTTTTATGAAAAATAACTTTCAGAAAATCCAGAGAGCAAAAGTGGCTTTGCTGTGCCTTTCTGTCAGTCTCATTAATATCTGGCTTAATTGAATTGAGCTGGATTTTCAAATCTGCTTCTGCATCCAGTTATTTGGAATGTTTCATTCCAGGTCATTAGAATCAGTGAGAAAAGCAAATTATGTCTTAGTACTTCTAGGAAAATAATTTAGATTCAGGGACCCCTGAAAGTGTTTCTGGAACCTCGTGGGCGGGGGTCCCTGGACCACACTTTGAGAACCACTAGGCTAAACTGTACATTTCTTCAGGGCGGACACCATTGCTTGTTTGCCTTTTTTCTGTTCCTGGGAGCCTTGTGAAATATTCTTTATCTACACACCTCAAATGTGTTTCCAGAGTCAACTTTCCCCTCTAAAATTCCAGGGAATGGAACCGTCGGGTGAATCAGATACTGCCTTTCCTCTCAGTTAGTCATGGTGTAAGAATGCATGTCAGTCCTTTGACTCAGCTGCCATTGAAGTGCCAGGGGACCCTTTTCGCTGTGTCTGATGACATGGTAGAATGGATACAAATCAAGATAAGACGTTGGGAAAGAAATATTCCCTTTTCAGTACAATGAATTCTAGGAAGTCTTGGAGGTTGCTGGGAGAAAGAAGCTAGAATTGTTTTCCAGAAACAGAGCGAACAAGTCTTTGCAGAAGAGGCAGGCCTGGCAGGCGCGTGGGACCCACTGTACTCTGCCGGTTCGCATTTGCTGCACTGAGGCAGTGATGGTGGCCTGAAGCGTGAGTGAGAAGTGACCATCAGCTCTCCAATTCATTCGCCGAATGCTGAGTTAATGCTCTCTAGACTTACGATAGAAAGGTGCAAACTCAGGCTGCAAATATGCATACTGTTGATAGTAGGTTTTCAGACTTTGGTTAAAAATGTAGGTAAATGATATCAAAAGGTATCTTAAAAAAAGGTGTGGTAAATTTTGCATAAAACAGATACATGTTCAACTTACAATGTTTATATTGGAGCAAATTATCAGCTACGTTAGGAAAACTTCATGAATATAGTGGCATAAAAGCAGTTGCTTTTGCATTTGACTTGCAAAGAAATGGAAGCAAAAACATTTTAAAAACAGCATGGATTTGTCTGCTTTATCTGAATGAATAGTGGCATTTTCTAACTGCTTGCCTCTTGGGCACATAAGCCATGAAGTTACATTCTTACTAATAGTCTTTGAACTTCTTTTCCTGTCCTTTCTTCCGGGCCGTATATTGCTGCCTTTAGCGCTTCAGCATGGAAGGGATCTCAAATGTCATTCAGAATGGCCTCCGCCACACCTTTGGAAATTCAGGTGGAGAGAAACAGGTGCTCGGTTATCCTTATTTTCCTCATTCTCTGCTTTTTCATTTCCTATGTAAGTGAAGGTCCCGAAAGCTGACTAATTTACTAAGACTGTTGCTTAAAAGAGACATGAAAGTTCATTATATTTATAGTCTGGGTCATATATAGAATTTTCCTTTAGGGAAAAAGCATTTTTCAAATTGGATAATAGACTAAATGCATTCGTAGTACACGTAGAGCTCCATTTTTCACTTTACCTTTAAACAAATAGATATTAACAAAATACAATTAATTGCATGTATAGAATATATAATTGTGAAAAAATAACGATAGAGTATGCTACTCTAATTCTAAAAGTATAAGAAACAAGATGTCATTTTTGGGAAAGGAAGCCAGATGTTGATATCTTTTAGATTAGCATTCTAGGTCAAAAATATCTATGGAGTTTATCTTACCTCCTTTTAAATGATATTCATGTGTTTTCAAGGTATATCATAAAGTCAGCCAGCTCACTTGTCTATCAAATAAGGCATGAAGCATTATTTAATACAAAAATCATACATGGATATGAGTACAGCAATTTGCTTGTTATTAACAATTTTGTATTATGATTTCAACAAACATGGGAAACACATCCACATCAAGTTTGCTTAAAATTACTTTTTGCAGTTTGAAATTTTCATCCCCAATACAAAGCTCTTCAATTTAGCCCTTAAGTAAAGGTTCAGAAGGTGTGCAGAATGCAGCTTGTGGGCAGTTTATCAAAAGAAGGCATTTGAGCTAGGGTTTTTACTGAAGATAGTTTTTATTACTTAAGGGAAATAATCAATATTAAATAATCCTTCACTCTGGCATTTGCAGCTTATAAAGGGGTTCCATGCAGGGATGGTTGAGGTGTTTTTTAATTTTGGTGTTTCTCACCTCTCTCAAACCCACAAGATGGCAAAATAACTTCCAAACTGACCCAAGACATGGGAGTGGGGCTGGGAGGCTTGAAAGTGTAGCCAGGCAGCATGGATGCCAAGGACGGCTTCCTGGTCCTGCTCCAGGCCGTCTGTGACACATGCCGTCAGTGAAGCCCTAGGCGGGCAGTTGGACAGTAGACTAAATGCATCCTTAATGCTTGTTGTATATACCTTTTCCCGCTTTTTGGGTATTCTTCACAAGAAACATACTCGGTTGTACAACGGGGCATAACTTTGGAGAGGTCTACACCAAAAAGAGGGTGGAAAACTGAGTTTCTTAAAGATTGAACAATTCACTTTTTCTACTTTTCTGAACTAGGGATCCAGTTATTGTTAAGTGAGTCTCTCGTTTTTTGACGGAGTGGGATAGAATCAGAGGATTAGGCTTTGAGCCGCGGTGTAGGGCAGGGGCTGAGGAGGTACCACGGAAAACGGGGGTCTCTAGATGAGCATTTGCAGACTGCACTGAGCTAGGAATTTTTGGTGGAGTGGCCAGAGCAGGAGAATCTGGACAATAATTTTTAGATTGTGCTTTTATGGGACACAGTTATAGGACATAACCCTGGTACCTGAGAGCCATTGCACTAGTAAACTGGGCAGTTTGTCTTAATTTCAGACATGAATTTTCATGATTCATTTCCCTTTAGGCCATTCTCGCTTTCACTTTTCTCTTTTCCTTTAATATCTTTAAACATTTATAACTACTCATACAATTATTTAAAACAATAATAATAAAAAAATAATGATAGTAATACACCGCTTAATTATTTGGGTAAATGTGTTTTATTTTAGTATCTGGAAGTATGTAATACGTGTTTTTAAAGTTGTCAAATTATTCACGTGACCATTTTGTTCAACCAGAAAAAAAATGGTCTGGAACAGAAGTATTTGACTGTTGGGAATTATTTTGTTATACAAAGCTGTTACAACTATGTTTTTAGTTAAAATTACTGTTTTAAAAATGTGTTGAAAAATATGCAAAGAGAATGTTAGATAAGACTTCACTTTAAAAATGAACAAATTGACAAATCATCCTAAGATTTCACTCCTTTGAAATTTTTAGTAACTGAAAGGTGAAAAAGTGACTATTTAGGTTGACAGTGGACTTGGATGAAGCAGGGAAGAGGGGGGTAAAAAAAAAAAAAAGCACTCTAGCTGAGGCACCTGTGTTTGTTACTGAAGTCTCTCAGGTTTCATGTTATCAAGTAGACCTCTAGTAACTAATTTTTGCAGATCAGGTAATTCAGATTTAAGTGACACTTTTTTTTTAACTTGGCAGTACTTGACA